GACTTGTTAGTTAAATTAATTTAAATTCTTATGTCATCTAAAACTTAGAAGAACTTACAAACCCATAAGTGTTAAACAAACATCTGGCAAACCACTGAACTTTGAGGATTTGCCATTCTAGTGTGGTTTATGTGAGGTTCTTCCTTTCCCCCTTCTGTTCCAACTCATTGTTCCAATAGAGTATGTCTAGACTGCATCCCTCTGTCAGAAGAGGGATGCACATTAGTCAGGTCGACATTGCAAATGAGGCAGGGATTTAAATATCCTGTGCCTAATTTGCATAAAAATGTCTGCCATGTTTTGTCGACTCAGCACTTTGTTGGCAAAAAGTGGCAGTCTAGAGGGTGATCTGTTGAGAAACAAAGCCTTTTTCGACAGATCCCCTATGCCTCCTGCAAGGAGGTTTACAGGATCTGTCAAAAAAGGCTTTCTTTCTCGACAGACCCCCTCCCTCCCAGACTGCCCCTTTTTGCTGACAAAGTGCTGAGTTGGCAAAACACAGCGGCCATTTTTATGCAAATTAGGCATGGGATATTTAAATCCCTGCCTCATTTGCAATGTCGACCTGCGTAATCTGCATCCCTCTGCCGACAGAGGGACGCAGTTTAGACATACCCATAAAGTCAAAAACCATTTTGGCTTCAGTTGCAGTTTATAATGCCTAGCACCAAACTGGCGGTACTCAGCACATCATTGGAGGCCTAACCCTGCTTCTATTAATGTCTATGACAAAAATCCAAGAAGATGCAGGATGGGCCTATGGAACAGGTCCATAATGCTAATAGAGAGAATCTAACTTGAAGACTGAAAGCCAGGTTTTGCTATTCTTCTGTCCACCCAGTAGCACCTTGCTCAGGAAGCAGGCCCACTGGACTCAATAGGACTAGATGTACAGGCCATTTCAAGTTTTATAAAGCTATTGGCATCTCATCAATACCAAAAGAACAGGGAGTCTATATTCCACCATCCATGCTATTATTCTTTGCACTTCATTCAACAGAAACATTGAACCAAACTAATTAATTTTACTTTCATTTACTGTCATTTTCTTATTCTCTTTTTCTAGCATAATGCTCTCATGTTTGTTTTCAGCACCAAATGGATGTTTATATTTTACAGAAAGATTTTGCTGAATTGTTTGTTAAATCATTAAAAGAGTTCCGTTCTTAAATTTTAACTTTTAAAACGTTGGGCCTATAACTGTTTAACTGGGTCTCCTTATGCTGTTTGCTTTATATTTTAAAGAATTTGTGGGTCTGTGTGTCCATTCATCCATCCATGGGTCTGTTTGTTCAGGAACTCTTCCTAAATGCCAACAGCTAGGACCACCAAATTTGGTATGTAGCCTTCTTTTATCATAACTTAAAGCAAGTTCATGGTTTGATAGTTCCAGGACAATGAGATGTGCATGGAATGTGACTGTTTCACATCAAACATCAAGGGAGAGGTGTGTGAACAGGGACAGTTATACTCATGAACAATTATATGGGGGCAACAAGAACTCAAGCATTGGGGAACAGCTGCTAGTTGGCAACACGACCCCTGCCATCTCTTGTTATATTGGTAAACATCTGTTATTTTTCTATCCAAAGTGTAATCCACTTTCTGCAGCTATTACATATTCTTATAAAAAATAGATCTCAATTGTACTAATGGATGATATTGTCTCAGAACAGAATATAGTATTGTAACTTTTATTGGGACAACTCACACAATTTCAACGCAACATTAATGTTTACTCAAACTATTCCTCCCACCTACACACAAAAAGAGGACATAAGTTGCTAACGCTCTTGCTAGGGATCAGAACCTGTCCATTTGGTATGAATATCTTCTGTGCCTCTGTTTATCAATCTAAGTGCTTATGTGGCCTGTGTCACTGTAACATAAGAACAATGTTTAGATGTTTAAGGACAAAATTATCTTTCTCCCTTGTTGGTCTGTAGGAGAAATTAAAAAAAAACACACACACACACTTATTAAGTTATTTATTAGTTTGCCTATTCATATGAGAGCCAGATTCTCTACTGCTTTTCATCTTGTGTAGCTAATTTTTCCACGTGCAAAGTAAATATAAAGTGTTGCTGTAATACAGTGACTGCCATCCAAGCCTCCCCTTGTTCTCTGTGATGGACAAGGTTTTTCCTTTTGTTTTTTAAAGGTAGTTTACTTTATTAATAATTTAATTATACATCAAAATGCAGAGTGTTACTACTTAAAGTCTTTTTTGCAACATTGAGGGAGCTAAAAACAGTTGCTGCTTATATTTGAAAGCACAAATTCATCATTTATCTTGGGTCTGCAGCCTTTTGTAGGAAATGTATTTTAATAACTAAGTAAACATGTTACATTCATGTTATTTAGTTGTCCCATAGAAAATATATTTCAGGATTTATTCCTGCAGAATTTGTGTTTTTATAAAAATACAGTGATGGGCTAGTTGTTCTTGTAACACATGTGGGCTATTTGGGAAAATAATCTGGAAGGTAAGATTTCAGTTATTTTCACAAGGCAGAAATGAGCATCTTTGAAGCCTTCTTTTAATAATACTAATGGAGAAAATATGGGATGTCTATTTTTAGTACCAAATCATATTCATATTTGAAAAAGACTTGGTGCAATGTGTATTCAATAAAGCGTAATCTGGAAGTCAGGTGAAGGAAAAAGGAGTACAAGGAACATAGACAGCAAAATAAGAATGAGGGTATGGCAGTTAGAGAAAATGAATTTACAGTTAATAAAGTGAAAACTGAAACCTTATAAAATATATTATAGAATCATCCATATATATGAATTCTTGCTGGGAGAAGAATATCTAACTGCTTCTGTGACTGCTTGAGTTTTGGTCAACCCTGGTTGAGCTCTGTTATACAATACTTGGATTCCTCTCTCCTTTTTCTTTTTTTACAAAAAGTAGAGCATTTCAGACAGACAAATATATCAAGTCCAATTAAAATTCCTCAGACTTATTCCCATGGAATTATCTGAAAACTGCAGTGCATGTACCGCTAATGACAGACAAACTTGATGTTCCACCAACTGCCTTAAAAATGTTGAAGTGGCACACGAACCAACAGAGTTTGCAAGCCACTGCTCTAAAATATGGGTACACCTATCAAGTAGTCTTAATTTAGCCCTTGAATATGTAGGCTTGTACTCAGTTAACCTATCCTATAAAGTATCTAGCACCCTTGGCTATATCTAGAGGTTAACTAGGGAAGGGCCATAGCCAGATGTCTTATCCAGAATTTTGATGATCTTTGAAAATCTGACCTTCCACAATGAGACAACCAACAGAGGGTAGCAAGGCCCTACTGGTGTGAAAGTGTATATGAATTAAGTCCAATGTATTCCTAAATTCTATCATATATGTTAGAGGGATCCATCCTATGTACACGATTTGCAAAGAAACGTCATAAGCAGTGCAGCAAACTGAAGATTTTTTTAGACTTGTTTTTGCCAAGACCTTGTGTGAGCATTTATAAATTGTGCTAAGCAGTCACATTAGCAATCAGTAAATGATTTGATAGAGATTTAGAAGAAATGGAAAGGGATGAAAAACAATATTTAGCACCAAACTCTTTAGGGCAGGGAACATCTCTTTGATTCAGAAAGTTCTATATATTTTTGTGGGGCTAAATAATTATTGGTAAGATTAATAAATTAATCTATTAAAAGATGCTAAGGCCTATCTATTGAGGTAAATGGCAATAAATTAACCAATTACAGGTGATTAGTAAAAGAAATAATTGAAGAGCAGTGGATTAAATAAAGGACAGGAAAAAATAGAAAATAAGCTTGATACATCATTCTTTGCGCTTACTGAATGTCCATTAAATTTGTTGGATGGTTGGAATAGGTGAAGAACACACAAGTCCCATTCATGAAACTTAGCATTTATACAGTATATTTATATACATTTCAGGGCACATTTGCATTTTAGGGCAAATAGTTGCAAGAACAGTGTTCAAAAACACTAAGTATTCCTTCTGTAAGTTATATTAGAGCAAGAAAAATGTTTCCTACCCAATATCAACATTAATGGTTGTGGGGAATAAACTAATGTGGTAGTGAAGAAAACAGTGAAAATGAAAAGCTAGATACAGCCAGAGAACCTGGGTTTTAACTGCTGGGAAGTTAGAACAGTCTGGTATATGCATTTATGAAATTGCTCTGTATTACTTTAGGAATTTATTCCTCAGGTCCTTCCTACTGACAGCTCATCCACACACATTCTAAGATTGTCCATTATTTGAAATGGTACTAGCTGAATTTCCTTTTTTATTATTTTTAAAGTGCAGTATAACAAAAACAAACAAACAAAACCTTACTGATTTATAGCTCCTAATTTTGCCTGTATCCAGAGAGTTTTCAGGGGGAAATTAAGATCACAAATTTATCAGTTAGTTGCACATTTTATATCGGAAACATTCGTTCTGATTACACAACTTCCTGTTAACCGCAACAGAAATTGAGTGCAAGTTGCAAACTCAAACTATACTATTCCCCTGAGACTAAAATTTCTAGTGTTGAGTGAGGTTTAGAAAATGACCCAAACAGTACCTCCTTCTCCTACTGTACTTTTGAATTTTTATATAAACAGTGTAAGCCTTCAACATTCCATATTTATAGTAAATCATTCAGGTTTTTAAATTAATAATAAAGATAGTTTAACATACTTTTACTGTGCAAATGTATATTTTAAAATCTTATATTAAAATAAGCATATTGCATACATACAGGACAAGGTATGTTTAATATGATGCAAAGATAAAAAAAATTGTCCCATGGTAGTTTAATGGAAAGCAAAAGGAAAATAGTAAAACACAATTTAATCACACAATCAAAATAGTTTTCTTTTTTAGATCTAAGTACTTCTGTAATATAGCTTATAGAGCTTTCCACCCTCAGTTCCCTGGGAGAGTATTATACACACCACCCTGCAGAAAGATATAAAAATTAACACAGTATAAAACCACAAGACTACTAAAGCCCCTTACCCTTTGGGCTTGCTGGGCTGTTCTTGCTGCTCAGTGCTGCAGACACATGTGTAAACAGAATTTCCTGCATCCTTTTCTGATCTGCACAGTTCTGGGGTTTTGGCCAACAGGATTATTTCCAGCATTAAAGCCACTCCACACTAACTAGAAAGAAGATTCCCATTGGTCAGGCTGTATCAAAACCAATACCACAACTTTTTTTTTAAATGCAAGTCAGTCACCACCTACAGATACACGCCACACACAGCTTATTGTGCTTTTCATCAGTAATTTCTCCTCCTTTTCTGAACTGCATATTGTGTGTGTGTGAGAGAGAGAGATTGATTGATTGATTTCTGGGCCAGCAACAGCTTCTCCCAATCCACATGTATCTCTGGTACATTTTGCATGCTATTGTAAAGTACATTACACCATTAACAAAAGTCCTGTGATATTTAAATTGTGAAGCACAAAAGGTGTGAGCAAGCTAACCAAATCCAAATAAAAAAATACAGACCCTGAAAGAAAAGGGTAATTTCTTGAGCTCTGAATATCATTTACACCACACAAACATAAATGACTGGTACACTAAAGAAAAAAAAATTATTTTGTGGAACATAAAATAGTATAATTTTGTAACATTATTGAAACGCACCAGCTTGCCTATAATAGGAATCTGCAAAAGAGCTGCATGCTACCACTGTGGGACCTCTTAAGAGTCATTCGGTCAAACAATACCATGGCTCCATTGAAATCAGCGAAGCTCTGGCAAGCCCATTGATCTGACCCATTGAGTCTACTTCAGTCATAATGCTTATATAGAGTAGCTGCAATCCCCTGTGTCATTTGGAAAGAGGCTTCTTCTTTGGATCTAACAATGGTAACTCTCCCACAAACGCTCCCCCCCCTTTGCTCTCCCTGCTTCTTTTGGATACATTGATATCAACAGGAGAGCTACACCCAGAAAAAGACCACCACCAAGATTTCAGATTTATAATTTTCAGAAACACCCACTAGAAATACCTCAAAGGAATCCGATCTTCAGAAGGAAGTTGCTTGGCACTTTCTGAATATTAGTTCCCCTCAAAATGTTTCAAAATTGTTATCCCAAAGAATTAAGGAACCCCAAAAATCATTAGTTACTTTTGAAAACCTGTTCCAGGAAAAATAATATACATTTTTCCATATAGAAAACTCAGGCAAATTACATGTCTTCGGAGTGGAATTCTCCCCTCCCACCTCCAGCACCCACAACTTGCTGTAGAACTTAAATCTTAATAGTTAAGGAAATCAATCTATTTTTAAACACATAAATCATCCCACATTATACACTGTATTGCACTCCCCGGAGAATATTCAGACTTCTGGTTTATAGCAAAAGAAAGTTAAGGTAACCACATACCTCTTTTATAGGAAAACACACCCAGAGACATATTTTTTTTTTAGTTGTGCTGCTATTTCTTACCTTTCCAACTCTCTCCGGTCAGTCATCACAAGCACTCATCTCCATCTTGCCACTGCCTTCATTCTGTACAGTGCCAATTTCCACTATTTAACGTTTATTTATTTTTAAAAAAATCTGAAGCTATATTCATCACATTAAGCAAAATGCATAGCATTTCCTTACTATTGCTGTAATATCTTCCATGCCATCAGTCCAGCCATTCCCCACTCCCAGAATATACTCAGGGTGCATCTACACTGCATCCTTACCTCAAAATAAGCTATGCAATTTGCACTATGCAAACTGAGTAGCTTATTTTGAGGTAATTTCAAAATAGCTTATTTCGAAATTTGACACTGTCTACAAAACGACAAATTTCTAAATAAAGCACTATTCTGACAAATCCATTAACTACTCCTTATTCACCAAGGGTATGTCTACACAGCAGGGCTAAAGTTGAATGAAGCTACACAATTTCAGCTATATCAATTGCGTAGCTTAAGTTGAAATAGCTTAACTTGGCTTTAGGCGCTAGGCGCTGTCTACACAGCAGGAAGTCAAAGGAAGAACATTCTTCCTTCTACTTCCCTTACTTCTCGTAAAATGAGGGTTATAGGACTCAGCCTCAGTCTACACTGATGCTTTTTATCGGAAAAAGGTACACAAATTGCACTCCACAATTTGCGTACCTTTTTCCAATAGTTTCCAATATACACTGGGCCAAATTTCAGAAAACTCTCCTCTTTCGGAAGAACCCTTCCTTGTGGCACTGAAAGAGCGCATCTGCTCTTCCACAAAAAATGTTGGACAAGCAGACGCGATCCCTGGATGCAGTGGAGTTTTTCTGGGATACCTCAGCCCGGAAAACCCTTAGAGTCTAGACATAGCCTCAGCATAACAAGTCTTCCAGCTCAATATTATTTTGAAAAACGCTTGTAACATAGATGCACTCTTTGTTATTTCAGAACAATAACATGGCTGTGTAGATGTACCCCAACAGCCCAATCTTACAACCCTTACTTGGGGGCAAAATTCCCATTGATTTCTAAAGAAATCCAATATATTACTATTATTCAAGAAAAAGATAACATATGACTTGATCACCAGTTATAAATACCTTCATGAGGAGAAGATTATTGATATTTGGGGGCTCTATACTCACAAAAAAAATAAAAGATCTCAAGATCTAATGGCTGGAAATAGAAGATGGACAAATTCAGACTAGAATGAAGGTGTAATTTTTTAAATAAGAACAATTAACCATTAGAATAATTTACTTGGGCATATGGTGAATTCTGTCACCCGAAGTCTTCAAATGAATAGCAATAACAAACATACCTAGATTTTGTTATAGTGCTTTTCACAAGTACCTTTCAAAGTGGCTCCGTATCTCTGGCTGTGTCTACATTGGTGTGATCTTGCACAAAAGCGCCCGCTTTTGCACCAAACTTGCTTCCTCTCTACACTGGCCGCGAGTTCTTGAACAAGAACACTGACATTCTAATGTTATGAAATCAGTGCTTCTTGCACAAGAACTATGATGATCCCGCTCAGGAATAAGCCCTCTTGCGCAAGAAAGCCCTATGGTTAAAATGGCCATCAGAGCTTTCTTGCGCAAGGGAGCATCTACACTGTCAAGGATGGTCTTGTGCAAAAACACATCTCTTGCACAAAGGCACATGCCAGTGTAGACACTCTCTTCTGGAAGAGTTTTTGCACAAGAACTCTTCTGCAAAAGAGTTCTTGCGCAAAATCATGCCAGTGTAGACAAAACCGCTGTGTATAGTTGGTAAAACTGAGGCACCAAAGTGAAGTGAGTTTCCTTGGGCAGACTAGTGGCAGAGCTAGGAATAAAACCCATGCTGCTTGGTCCAATGCTCAGTCACTAGGCCACACTGCCTTGTAATTCTTTGTACAAATCAAAACTGAATACACTTCTACCCAAACCAGAATTTATAGATGGTGCAAAATTCACTGGGTGAAATTCTACGACTTGAATCATGCTGGTAATCAGGCCTCCCTTCAATTCTAGTACATTTAATTCCTGGAGATATGTCAAATGATTCCTCCCCACCTCCCTCCAGGCAAATCATGCTAGTTAGTCCATGAAAGAGGATTAATAGGATGTGAAAAACAATATTTCTGAAGCCCTCAATGCTGAGATCCATTCCCAGGGTGTTACAATGGAAAAGAGTCAGTCCATCCAAGGATTACTAAAGCCAGTGAAAAGAATTATTTAATGTGTCTCAGAGGAGCAAGCTGGGTCACATTTTTCTCAAAACAACAGAAGTCAACATCCATTGAATTGATGTAATTTCTGTGGCAGTCTCAAGTATTGAACAGAATTATAGTTCATTCCAGTCAAAAGAAACCAGAACTATACAGTTCAAGCACAGGGCATAATAAACTAAAGTGTACCTTTTACTAGCTAAATTAACAAACAAAACAAAAACACATTCAGCATGGCTCTAAGCCCCAACATTTTAACTTCTGGACAATCCTCATAACATTGTTTCCAAAGGTCAGAATAAAATCTTTCTGGGGAAAAATTAATACTCTAATTCGTTTTCATGATGATTCCAGAGTACTAGAGCCAGTTTGTAATCTCACAGTGGTTTTATAGTGATAATACCTTTCAGAAGCTACTCCTGATTTAATAGCAATCTAACTGACATCAGAAATCAACTCAATACCTTTAAATGTCTACTTGACAGAAGGAGCAAGAGTCAGTGTTTATAATCATGTCAAAAGCAATATATTTTTTTAGGATCCAAGAAAAAGGTTAAGAGAAATTGTAAAAATGTTCACGTTTTTAAAAGGCATTAACCTGTAACTCATGTAGATCACCCTCTCCATTCAGCAATTCAAAAGGAAACATTTACTCATTGTACTGTTTCAATGGATCCAGAAAAAGCTCTTCTAAGGCTACATCTACATTGTGCTCTCTTGCACAAGAACATATGCAAATGAGACCTGGCAATGAATATCGCTACACCTCATTTGCACACTTAATGAGCCGCATTTTGCGCAAGGGGCTTTCGCGCAAGAAGGAGCAGTCTACACTCCTTGCACAAAATCCCCCCTTTTGCGCAAGAGCTGTTCTGCCTGAAAATAAGTGGCGGTAGGGCTCTTCTGCAAAAGCCCCGTGTGCAAAAATGGCAGCTCATTAAGTATGCAAATGAAGCACACCACTATTCATTACCGCACCTCATTTGCATATGTTCTTGCACAAGAGAGCGCAACGTAGATGTGGCCTATGTGAACAGTTCTAGTTCCTGGTGCATTCCAAGACATCCAAAGTTAACACTGTGGGATATTCATGAGAGTCCCTTGCAAACTTCCCTTGTTTTTTTAGGGTAGGGGATCATTCCAGGCCAGAGTTTTAATACAAATCAGAAATCACACAATTAGTTCAGGGATATTCAGATACAGGGATTTATTTTGGCTAATCGTGATCGTCCTCCTGAACAATGTTTTCAAGTGTTCACCCCTATTTTTTTAGGAATCAAAGCACTTGATGGTGGCAGCAACTTCCCCAAAATCTGTGTATTAGGATTCTGGGGGAAGTTTTGTAACTAATGCCTGCATTAAATTGTTCCCTGCAGTTTCTACAAATTATCTTCAATGGTTTGGGCAAATTCTTTCTGAAATGTATTTTTCAAGAAGACTGATATTTTGATTTCAAGTGTTACTACTCTGTCCACTGAAAATTAATGTATGC